AAATACCAATAGACAGTGAACACCTTTTCCGCATACGTATTTGGGTCTTTGCTGTTTTTTAAGCAAGACAAACATATTTTCCAAGAGTAACATGACAATGAATGAAACATGGATTCACCACTACAAGGATGCATCTAACCAAAAGGACCAAATACGCAATAAAACGTCCCCAAAGGAAAAAGAAATAGGTCCGTTTTCAACAAGACAAATGCATCACCGGTATTCCTTCTGAATACAGAGAATTGTCCAGATTTGGTTCTTTGGAGCTGTAACGTATGCTCAATGTGAAAAAATGTTCAATGGAATATAATACGTCCTCAAAGGAGTAGTAATCGCCAGAACTTGTCTAGTTGTATCACCCGAGAAGTAGACTAGGTTATATTAAAGACGAATTGTGCCATAAAATTTGGATTGAGAATAGGAACACGTACTAAATGAATCAAACCTTTGTGTTATTTCCCTACTTCTTTCACCATTCGACTAATTTTCCTAGAGTATTAACATTAGCGCTAAAATATATCAATACGACTGGCTACCTGAGCATATTATTACTCATTTTGAGACGATGTATCATTTTTTCATTTGGTCGCTGAGAGGAAAAGACTCGAAGTCGAACGGTTCTGACTCTCCCGAGCAATAAATAAATCCGGCGTAAATATATTACAGACCAGAATGGAACTTTTAAATCAATATCTGTATGGGATACTGCAGTTAATGCTGCTGTCGAAACGAACTATACTTTATTGTTGAAGGTTTTGTTTACGAGTTGCACAGAGCTGAAATATTGGAAATTGAAATTAACAAGGACGTTCTGAAACGTTTTGGAATTTACTTCGAATGTATGGAAGAAATGAGAGAACTGACAGTGGTACTGATTACAAAAGTGTCCCAAATACTTCTTGTTGATCCTCTGGACAACTAGCGATAGCAATTTATTCAATAAAAACACAGTGAATTTTCTTTCTGTACCGTGTCGACCGAACTTAGTAAATTAAATATGCTTCAACCATTTTTTTCAATTCAAGAGTGATAGAAAAAATGAAGCTGTGAAATAACTAAAACCTCCTTGATGAAGAAATATTGCGCCTGTTAATGAACAGTACAAACTTGCGATTAGAAGAACAGTTCATTCATTTTATTTTAAGGAAGAAATACCGACCCTTGGCAAAATAATGGAAGCTTCAAAGTATGTATTCAATGATAGGCAGAAAGAAATAAGAGAATTGAATTTCAGCTTCGAAAAACAAAACAAAAAATCGCTGAATTTTACCAGTTGGGACTTTCATTGTCTGATATGATTTGAAATCTCTGTAAGAAACAAATAAAATTGAAAAATCAAAATGAATAGCTGAAAATAACGAATATATTGAGCAATAAAAGGTGAAATGAAATTACGAGAAAAATAAAATAAAAATATGCAACAAAATTAAAACATTGAACAATTAAAAATGAGCTAAGAATTTAAAATGATACCAAACGACGTTTCGATTATTAGTATCCAAAATCGCGTTCTTGTGATAACTGGAATATTCCTCCGAGAGATGACTATTTGTAGATCATTCGAACGCTTTCATTTATCCCCTCTTTCCTCTTCACGCTTCACCGGTTCAGCAGGAGTTGATCATTGACATATATGCAGCTTCTTTGAACTTCTTCTCAAACAAGTGTTTCACCTTGTGGACGATCTCAGCTTGGGACCACTTGTTATATTGGTGAGTCCAAACATGCTCTGCTATTCCAGATTTGCTGGTTTATCCTCGCTGTGTGTTTTTCTTGTGCTTGGCAATGTGGGCTCGATGGCCTCTTAGTTTCACCGATATATGATTGGACTCACTGACAGGGTATCCGGTGAATGCAATTCTTGGAATCGCAGTCCGCTTTTGATGGCCTTTTTTTCGTGAGGCTGCTATGGATGGTGTTTCCGGATCTGAAGCAGGTTCTGATGTTGGACCCACTTCTTCTTATCCTTTCCGGCAATTCTCTGATGTAGGGAAGGGCCAGCACTGGCTTCTTTTCCTTGTGAGCCAAAATCTGTTCCGCCATCACTTCGGAGTAACGTTCGTAATACAGAGTCACAGAGCACGATCGGCTAGAGTCTTTAATTCCTTTCGATGATGGTTAGAATCGTGATTCAGATGTGTGGGTTTTCGATATATAGATGGTTCCCACTAAGTGTCGGTCCTCTTTACCAATACGTCCAAGAATGGCAATTCGTTGTGTGTTTCCTTCTCCATTGTGAAGGTGACGGAAGGTTTTATGCTGTTACTATGCCTTAGAAAAGGTGTCTAGTTCTGTATTTTCATGGTTGCATACTATGAGGATTTCGGCAGGTCCTCATCCGCCAATGGGATGTGGCAAATGTAGCACAAAAAGTATTACAAGTACACGTTTAGAATTTTTAGAAAGCTGGTCTACCGGATTGAAGTCGGCTTCTGGAAAAGGAAAGCGACTGATTATAACCCGCATTGGAAGTGTTGATGGTTTTGTTCTGGCTGGTTCATTGATGTTTGAGTATTTTGGCGATCACCATGAAGACTCAAACGGCGATGTGTTTGAAGAACATTTTGAGCAAATATCAGTCCACATTCCACCTAACTCTGTGGTAGATATGATGCATCAATTGTAATAATTGTGTATCTACAGATTTCCAACCTAACTCTTTCCAATTTTCATCGGTCCTTTCAAAGGAATTTCTGACTCAGATGACATTTCATGAGAGACCACTTGTTTCGACTGAAGAGCCAAATTGAATGGCTTTAGCGGCCTTTTAGACAATGCGTAGTTCGAAGGACAAATGTAAAAGTACCTTGCACCGAGGGAACCACTAAAAAATGGCGGCTTCAGAGCCCTAGAGCGGTACTCGAACTCGCTTCATCGAACACGCTAAAAATCGTGGAGAAGAATAGGAAGAAGCGCCGAATTCAATGGGTGAATCACTTGCCGCTACCCGTGAATAAAAATGCACTATACCAGAATGAAATCGCTGTTTCGATTGTGTCAAAAAGCTTTTACGGCGACAAAAGCCTTTTTTTGGAATGCCTGTCGAAGTATACGTGTGTCCATTCACCATCATCATTCTAGTTAAGTGGTTTATTGTCATTTTCGATGCGCGTCTACCTGATTTCTCTCTTCCAAATCTCTCGTTCTCTCTCTGTCTTCTCTTCTCGGCATTGTGCGTCATGTTTCGAGTATCAATCAGACTTAATGTCAAATTTGTTTTTATTTGATCACTCTCGCTGTGCTCTTAGCGGAATCTACTCTCGAACTTGACAGATTTCACTAGGAGATTACAAGCGGAATGAAACGCACCGTGGAACAAGTGTCAGTTATTATAATTCCTCTTTGATATTCAAATTGTAACGGCAATGTGTCTTACGGTTCGAATTTTTCGTTGGGGAAAAAAGAGGTTCAAGAATAGATTCAAGCCCGATTGAAGAAAGTTGTTCCTGTTTCATTGTTGATTATACCTTCGACAAAATGAATCATAAACTGTTGTCCCATAAACTGGAAAACTTTTTGATGAATAGTCAATGAATGTATCAAGATGGAGACATAGAACTCCAGAACCTTTCCTTTCCAAAAGTTAATCTATGAAAACAAGTTAATGGATAGAATGCATGAATGTTTTGAGCTCCCCCACCCCAAAAGACTGCAATGATAATTTGAAAAATACTGAAATAGATATCTTCCACCTGATGCAAAACTTCCTTCCGACAGAAAACTTCATTATTTATTTTCTCAATGACTCGTCAGCCCATTATGATTTATGACAAGCGAAGATAGTCATTATCTTCCGCAATAAACCAGATTCAATTATTTCCTCTAGCAGATACATAATCTAGATATCGCTGTATTTGCCTTCGTAATAGACAGGTAAGTACTCAATTTCCCGCTACAGAGAAACAAAGTTGCCCACAGCGCTGAGTACTTTCCTTCTTTCGCTTGACAAGCATACATTAAAAAGATTCAAAGCGTGACCTGAGGGGGCATTTCGAGAACCATCGAGATGTTGTTCGATACTGAAACGGAAATTCTCCAACTCTTATGTTTCGAATACTAGTAAAACTTGTGGTCCAATAACTTTCATCGGTGTCTTCATAATCTAGAAAACCACAAGGAGCCACCCGAAATTTCATTGCCAGCAGTTCCTTGTAACCACAAACAATCCCACCCGTACGACACTCAAATCTATTTATCTTCTAATCAATCACGGTCGCCCGTGATTGGGGAGCGATCCGGCCCGAAGGACCGAAGTTGCACGCCACCATTTCGCCAACGTCGCCCTTTCTGCCGCAAGAAAAGCGAGCGAATGCCAACCGTACGGCAGAAGAATCTCTTATCGCGCCAAGATCGCTATCCAATTAAATCTGACAATAGGTTTACGTTGGTGACACAAGTAGTGAAGTACACTCGGTTTGAAATATACAATCTTCTAGTTCTTGCTCGATTTCGGTTGTCGACAGTGGTGTAGATAGGGAGTTGGGCAATTTGTGTTTTAGATGTTGTTTGAGAGATGTACAATGGAATATTCATTGGGAGATGATTCGAGTCTTCTGGCTGTGAATGCCATTCAACAATGGAAAATATACTTACAGTATTTGTTTGATCTTCTACATCATTTATTTTTGGGAGATTTGAAAGGCTGAAATGAGTCATTTGCCACAGCTGTTATAACTCTCCAATCAATTTTTGACGCTTGCTGCCCTCAAAGATGTGAGGTCAATGGTACCCGAAAGTCAATCTGCCAGAGAAGTGGGTTTTTATACCAACCACTGTCAACAACTCAATTTTTTTGAAAACGTTGAATTTTTCACTAAAGGTTTCCTTCATTGATCAGCGATGTTTTCGAAGTGGCCAGCAGTATTTCCTGATTTGAGCCTCCTTGACTTTTTCAATCTTCATGACATAATCTTCCATTTTATCCATGAAAATCAACGAATAGTTCGCTTTATAATATTTGTTAGCAACAATCCACTTATTCAGTTCTATTTCTATTGCAGAGTTTACAAAGTGCGGCGCGCCGGGCGGGTACGAGTTGCGCCAACTGCAAGACGACGACGACGACCCTCTGGAGGCGCAACCAAAACGGGGAGCCCGTCTGCAACGCTTGCGGACTCTACTATAAACTACACAATGTAAGTATATATTTCACTCCGTATTCCCTGTTTCAATACCTGCTGTACCGTATTATGGTGATGTTCTCACACATAACATTCGTGCTTTTTTTACGACTCCATACAATGAGAACACGGCATATAAAGTAGGCGAGTCGAGGATAATGTAATGATACTGTATACCATACTGAATGGATTAAAAAAAATAGTTGTTTCAAAACATCTATACTTCATGTGGAAGGTGTAGTTCAAGTAAACGATATAGTGCAACCTATCTTCCAACAGTTCCCCTTTAATAAAAAATATAGTTATTTAACTCCTATTTAATTATATGCGAGTGCTTTCGACAGCTGGTCGTGGTGTCATTATCTAGGCTCTACTCAAACAGAAGAAGCGGCGTTACAAGTCCCATATACAACGGAAGCAGATTCGAATACTGAGCAGAGCCACTGTGTTGCCAGATTTTAAACAATTTCCTCATTTTAGGGGAAAGCAAATTTGGAATGTCGTGTTCATTAAATTTTTGTGAAAAAAATCATAACTCAAAAATCTTACGTGTTAGGAAATTTTTACTATTATTTTCGCATTTAGGGACTAAAAATTAATATAGCCTTTGCCATTACAGTCGTAGATTGGCTGTAAATTAGTAAATTGGGATTGTTTCATCATTGCAAATCATAACTTCTTTGTGATAATAAATTTGTCTAATTCAACGTACTCTTCAAAATACTGAAAAATGCTCAGCCTACTAATATAAGAAAACAAGATTTGAAAACCAAAGCATTTTATTAATTGAAAAACGATGTCTTGATTCACCTCGTTTGTAGTTTGGAATCCCGATTTTCACAATCGCACATGAATAATGACAATTGTCAAGCAAATCTTCGAATATCTGCTTTCATTTCAACTCATTCAAATACATATACTTGATGATGTTTCGGAGGGTGAAACTTTACATTGATACTTCTCAAAACTGGAAACAGATACAGGATAAGATACAGGAGAACGGGACCCTTCAAGGATCCATCTTGAGCAGTACACTTTTTCTGATAGCAATCAATGACGCAGTCGAACATGTCCATAGTCCTTTGAAAACCAGCTTATATGCCGATGACCTAATACTCTACTTACGAGGTAAAAACACGAGAACCATTCAAACCAGACTCCAAGAAGCAGTTCATGGTATAGAAAAATGGCTAGATATTACAGGTTTCCAGATAAGTCCGTCTAAGTGTAAGTGTATACTTTTTTCAAAAAGGAGAGAAGAATTTAAACCCACTCTGAAACTTTACCAACAAAATATTTCAGCAGCTGACCAAATAGTCTACCTAGGAATGATTTTGGATAAAAAATTAAAATGGGAAGCTCATCTGAAACACGTCAGACACTCTAGTCAAAGCGGCATCAACCTCCTGAAGACTCTCTCTAACCATAGATGGGGATCAGATGTCCAAACATTGTTACTTTTATATAGAAGTCTTATCAGGTCAATTATTGATTATGGCTCCATTGTTTATGACAGCGCAACTAGATCCACATTGAAGATGATGGACTCGATTCACAACACGGTAATAAGGACAGCTTTAGGGGCCTACAGAACTACCCTTACGGAAAGCCTGTACTGCGAGTCAGGCGAACTCTCTTTATACCTGCGAAGAGAGTACTTGAGCTTATCATATGCCGCAAGGATATCTGGAAACCATAATCACCCCGCTTACAACAATGTATTCTCCAAGAGATTCAATAATCTTTATGCCAGGAGATCACGCATCACACATCCTTTTTACCAGAGAATCAATTTATGTATCTCCAAACTTTCCCCAAACTATTCCTTTTCAACCCATAAGAAGGTTCTAGCCATTCCTCCCTGGACGATCAAATCTCCAATATGCAATCTCAACCTAACTAGTTTTGACAAATCAGTTACTCCACCGCAGCTAATACAATGCCATTTCCAAGCTCTCTTATCGAATATCCCAATATACACTCAAATTTACACCGATGCATGAAGGTCAGAAGAAGGAGTTGCTGCAGCTTTTGTAACATCTAACTCGTCGCACAAGTTCAAAGTCAACAAGTTCGGAAGCATTTACAATGGGGAACTCTTCGCTATTCTTCAAGCTCTCAAACATATACTAGAATATGACATACAAAATTCTTCAGTCATTACGGATTCATTGAGCGCAATTATAGGTATTCAACAAATGTATTCGGATAATCAAATCCTAATAAACATCAAGGAAGCAATATATGCAATATCTAGAGAAAATAAAAACATCATATTCCTATGGGTACCATCACATGTCGGAATCAGAGGAAATGAACTTGCAGATGAAGCAGCTCGTGAAGCACTACGAGATCAAAACATAAATTTCGAAGAGGAACTAGAATATGGCGATCAAAAAGCTTACTTTAAAAAGTTATTGAAGGACTCCTGGAATTCCAGATGGCAGACCTCACAATCGAAACTGAAAGAAGTAAAATCCACTATAAAACCGTGGAAAATTACACCCCAAAACAGATCCCACCAAGTTGTTCTCACACGTCTTCGTATTGGCCACACCCGCTACACCCACGGACACTTATTGAAGAAAGAAGAAGTAAGACTGTGCGACAGATGCCTAATTCCAATGAGTGTGAAACACTTTTTAGTTGAGTGCCCAAAGTTCTCAGTGCAGCGTCAAGCATTCAATCTAGATCCTGACTTATCTTCAATTTTAGGCGAAAATTGTAAAATTTCAAATCTAGTGAATTATTTAAATGATATCGAAGTTCTCAAAGATCTCTAACTATGTAACATATGTTTTAGTCTCTGTATCTGTCGTAATCAAATATAATGTAACACGTTGCTAATGACCCTCGTGGAAACTTTGTTGTAGAATACATCCAGAAGAAGCACCTTTCCCAAATTATTCTTCATTGCTTTGGTAACGAAATTTGTTGCTCGACTTCATACCAGTTATTACTTTCACATACACCTCTCATTTTTCTGAATTATGCGGTTCAAGTGTTGTTCAATCCCATTAATACGGTGACTCGGTGTTTTTTCCGGTTCAGTTTCGATCTCAATCGCATTCTGAACTCCTTTCTCCAGGATAATTCCTCTATAAAAGAACGAAATGATCCGGAAAAACAATCCCCGACTTTTGCGAATGATCACGGAAGTGGCAATTGCCGGACAATCTTCCGGATCCCTGGCAGAAGCGGTGCAACGTCAGCAACTCAGCAATCTAGATCGGACATGAAAGCAATCGCATTCGGATCAAGAGAAATTTTAATACGGTTTAATTACAGCTACCATCACGAGTCGTTCCTTAGGAATTGTCAATCTTCCACTGCGCAGCAATCTTGGTCACGATTTCGCTACTTGGGGCATGTTTTTTCTCTTTGAAAGAAATCTCCCCGTTAATATAATCAAGTTATAGCATTTATGAAGTCTGAAGTCGATTGTTATGGTTCTGTATCGTATTAGTCGTTGCATACTCGAGTTGGTTTTCAAATTCCCCGCTCTGAATGATGGATGGCTGGGAATATAGTTAATTCAGTACACATTGTTTGAATTACTGATTACTATGCTAGATGATTTCCTGATAAGAAACTTTGTAGTCGGTAGCGTACAAAAGGTATCGGTTATAATTTCGAATGCTACTATCTGCAAGATTTCTAGTTTGCGGAAATTTCAAATAGTGCGAATTTATTCGTGTGTAGCATTCCAGATGCTCTCGTTGTAAACATGTTCCTTACTTCTGGGGCTCATTTCAAATACGACCGGATTTATTTCCTTATTTTGTTTAGTACGTGTTTGAATAAAAAGTTTTTCATAATTCGCTAGCCATTTTTCAATCTGAAAAAACATATGTAGCCTTTTTGATTTGATGACAGATCTTCTAGAGACATCAATCTTTTTTGTAAACTCCTAGATACGTAACTACTTAAATGATTTCAATATATTACCTATGTCAATCAGGATTCCAGCCAAACCACAGCCGCACAATAGCTCTTTTGAAATTTGTTGATGATTTACACTGTTCTGTCGACAATAATTAACTTTGTCTTCTAGTATTGCTGGACTATTCTAAAGCATTTGATCGTATTAACCACTCCCTACTTCTGGCAATACTGAAGTACCTGGGTTTTTCCTATAACGTGGTAACTCTGTTTGGAAATTATCTGCTGAACCGTTCTCAGTGTGTCATACTCAATGACAAAAAATCGAATACCCTCAAAATAAATAATGGAGTCCCTCAAGGATCGATTTCAGGCCCACTTCTCTTTGTTTTATATACTTCTCAGTTCTCACACTACCTTCTTCACACTTCCATGCATCGTTACGCCGAACATATTTGTCATGATATGCACTCTCTGATAACTGAATCAAGAAAATATTGTCTCTCTGTAAACCCATCTGAATCTTGTGTCATGCTCTTCGGTAGGCCAAATGCAAAAAATCGTTGCAGCAAATTGATTGACATTTCCATCGAAGGGGTTCAATTACCAAAAAGTGACGTTACGAAAAATTTAGGCCTTTATCACGATAATTCTCTGTGTTTTACTACACATGTTTCTCAGATTCTTAGGAAGGGTTATATGAATCTAAAATTAGTATACTCGAGTAAACATTATTTGAACAAAAAAAATTAAATTTTACTCTGCGACGTACTGGTACGTCGCAGAGTAAAAGACCAGGACTCTTGAAATCTGACAGGCTGAGACTGCAGAATTCGTGCATAATGCACAGTGTCACAAATCAATGAAAACGATGGCAAAATTGCATGAAATGAGCTCCTGCATATACCACATTCGCCACATTTGGCTTCCAGCGACTACTGGCTGTTTACAGACCTCAAAAAACTGCTCGCCGGTTGGAAATTTTGCTCGTCATTGCTGAAACTGAGGTCTATTTTGGAATGATTGTGTGTGGTTCTTACGTTGATGAATAAAGCTAATTTTGTATGAAAAAACGCGTTTTCTCTCTCAGGCCCGGAACTTTTCAGCCATGTGTTTACATTATTATAAGAATA